GCACTCGGGCCTTCATGATCATTCGAGAAATTTCAGGCATGCTATCAGCGCCAAACGCACCAGCAGCGTCACGTGACTTCCGCTGTTATAACAATATTTTCTTAACATTGTTTCACTACAAGATATTGTTAAAGATTAATGAAAATGCAGGCTGTAAGTGAATATGCCTAGTGAAACTTTGAAAACCATACCTAGTTAGTTCTAAACTTGTATCTGGAAGAAAGTCGTTAGAGGAGATGGAGAAAGCATTGGTGAATTTTAGTGGTCATTAGTATAGGTTGGTATTTACCAACTCAAGTCAGTTCATGTGTGTGGGAACCAGTTTTGCAGTCTCGACCTCCATTCCTTTCGTACCAGAATAAAGTGATATTTATGTAACAACCATACGATAGTAAAGAGGATGGTTCTACATTCAAGAGTGAGCTTTTTTTTGCCATTGTCACGGGATTGGCAACATGGAACAATATAGCTGTAGGTGTTGGTCAAAGAGGGGCCCAATAAAGCCTGGGGAACAAAAAGACCACAGGGATTATAGGAATATATCTTCTATAGGCAAACAAGGCATAAGCACTCGTGAAGCCCATTAAAATGTCACTTTACTAAGATAATCCATTATTTACTTTATCTCTAAAAGTAGTTTTAGATAAGAGTGTGGTTGAAATTGTGTAACGACCCTCTTTACAATCAAACATATGACTGATCTTCTGACTAATTGGAATTTATATGAAATTACATTTTTAATCCACACTTTTGCTATTTAAGATCGAATTATTAACCTCTGACTGTCTTGTTTTTCAACTAGTTAGTGATATTTTTTCTGTTCTTGTATGATGAAGCCTCAAAGTCTATTTTCGTTGCCACTGAAGGATACATACACTGAAGAGTACTCTGAAGTACCAAAAACTTTAGAAAGAATTTATGTGAGGCTGACGAATTGAGGTTAAACTGAATAGACGGTGTACCCCAACGCAATTTGGGTCTTATTTCTACCAGTACCTCTAAAAACAAGGGCACATTACATAATGACCCACCTTATGATTTGTAACCAGGTGTTGGGTGTTTATACTGTGGCTGCGATTTTCTCATGAATTTACATTTAATTATATCTTAATGGAATGTTATATTGTACATATGTATACAGCGTGTCGTATTTTGTTAATTTTAGTGTTTTACTTTTATCGGTGTAAAAGGGTGTTTTGTGCTGCTTACTTATTTCATAAGTAACAATAAAAGGTATTTTTGTGATGCGGTTTTTCCTCTGTGTTGATTCAGCATTAAATAATTGTTTGGTGATTATGACTTGATTATTTATACATGTGTGTTAAAAGGGTCATTTTATTCTGTGTTACTACGATTTTGTATTATTATTGAGTTCGTTTTGATGATGAAGTTTATTGTTAAAGATATTTACTATGTATTGATGCGTACTTGCATCTATGTTAAAGTATTTTTGATCATGTATACTTTTTTCTTTGTGAATATGTTTTTGACTACATATTGTACTCATTTGTAAAATATTGTGTCATTTGTGTTGTAATTAAGTGTATAAATGAGCGAGAAAAGGTTATAGTACTCCTTGAGCAGCAAGTGTGTATAGAATTTTTTACTTTTAAAATCAAAACCAGTTATTGGCTTGAGGACAAGTCTATTGTATAAGTGAAAGGAAAAGTTTGGTATACATATACTGTTTTACACTTTCTTATATTAATATAGCATTTCTGAACTGATTAGTTATTCTAAGTATGTGCAATTTTCACATAACACGTGGTCAAGAAAGTTATTAAGCTAATTTCATTCTAACTACCTTTACTCTTTTGTCATTCTTTTAAGGTCATGCCCTTTCTGCTCATGGCAGGATATGGCTGTAGTGCTGCATATTGTACAATAATGTAAACAACAGTGTTCTTGAATGGTGTGTGAGATGATATCTCGAGGTTACAGCCTCCAAGTTTGAATGGACAGCCTTTTGTTTGGCGTTAGTTGCTCTGGGTGAATCCAGTATTACTTGCGAAATAAGTAATGTTGAATTTCAACAGTTTAATAGATGAACTTGAGCTAGACAATTTTGGACAGACAATAATTTTGATCCAGTTGAAGCAACAGTCCATCCTTTAAGCAAGTACATACACTGTGTTTGTGTTTTTCATTATAAGAAAGATTGTACATATGTATTTTATATTGTATCCGTTCTCTTTATTTCGTTCTCATGAACACAGGTATTTAGAGACTCAGTAATACTTTGTAATAAGTATATTCATGATATATTTTTATTCAGCAAACTTATCCCATCACTCCAGGAATAATCAGTATTTACCTGAATATACCACATAGTGATATGATTGTTTAAAAGATGATTTTTGTAGCTTCTGCAAATGCATCCGGAAATAATTTTATAAGGGTACAATGTCCTAACAAAATATCTGGATACCTACTGATCATTTGAGGGGCAGCGTGGTTTAATGATTAGTGCTTTAAACTAAAAAGGTTGTGGGTTTGAGGCTTGCCCACGGCATAGTGTTGTATCTTTTGCCTCAAATGTTTTAGTCTTCCGAGCTATGATGAACTGGTATTCTATCCAGGAGAAATGTGTCACCATTCTCATCTACCCGTGTCACGGGAAACCAGAGTTAAGCACTGCCCTATAAACCTTTTAAGGTGCAAGATGGATTAAATTACTTACTTTTACATATCAACCATTGACATGGTTCACCCTACACGTTATGTAAAGAAACTCATAGAATATTTGAACACAACATATAAAAAATTGTTTTTGTGTGTGTGCAATATACTACATTGTTGTGAATAAAGTTGGTTGTAATATGAGAAATTGATACTGAACTGTTCTGAACACTAGGTTATATGCGATTTATTGTGCATAGTCATTCATCATTGTCATAAAAACACAATACCTAAAAATCATTCTGTTATTGTAAAAACAGCAAGAAAACATCTTTGCTACAACGTTACATAAACAGTGATGACTTCACTGCATCTAAAATAGCCACAAATGAATGAATACCATTGTGGGGTATTTACAGCTTAGTCTTAATGAACGTTTGATTAGTGTAAGCCCCGTCCACACTGAAGTTTTTGGCGCGGTAAGAATCACTCTACCTCATTTAAAGTGATGGCTAAATAAAAGTGTAAAGTTAGAGAAGTTACACATTTCTACCACAATTATGTTGTATCAACTCTAAAGGATTACTGTTAATTGAAAGATGGTATTATTGTATAGGTTGTATTCTATGTGCCTATGAATATACAGACTATAAGGAACTAATATAAACACCCCTTCTTCATCTTTACGTCACCTTTGGAAGGTTGCTTACAGATAACACCTGAATTGGACATTGATATTTGTATTTATAGCAATGCTACTTAGCCATCTGCTGCCATTCCTGATTTTGGAATACTAATCAGAGGGAAGGGCGCTCCCTACCACCCATGCTAAGGGATTGACTGTCACTTTTATAACGCACCCACAACTTAAAATGGGGAAATATTTTATGATATTGAACAGATTTAAACCTGGTTAACCAGCTCCAAAATCTAGAGCTCTACCACAGAACAATCACGTCTGAGCATAGATAACTAGTTTTTATCATACATATTATCATCATTGCTCAAGGACACCCAGTGTTCTAATATGTTAGGTCAATGATAATATTTACGTAAAAAAATAAAAATATATGGTTCCAGAATGTAAAAGTTGTCATCTCAGTTGTTTAGTGTTTCTTTAATTCCTCATTTGAACCAGTCATGACTAAAATTGATGGCAAATACCAGAGAGTACACCAATTCCAGATTTACCACAATACCTTAAATGTACATGTTTCTGGAAACACTGTAGAGGTCAATGTGTTGTTCCAGCAGGATAATGCTTCTTGCCACAAAGCATGGTAATAAATCAAGATCTGGTTTCAAAATACATCATAACCAGCAAAATTGCTTGAAGTGGCCAATTCCTAGAACCATGATCTTAAAAACACTTTTTTTTTTACCCTCTTCTAAAACTATTATAGAAAACATCTGAGATAACCTAGATATTCTGGAGATCATGACAAACAGAAATAGCAGCAGTTGTACAAGCCAAGGAAAATGCTACTCTATTTTAAAACATTGATCACCAACTTTTTCTTGCAACATCTTATACTTTTGACTGGTTATTGGACATTTGCAAAAATCATTATAAATACAAACCCTCAACTTCACTATCTTCAGCACTCAGCTACTTGTCTAATTTTAATAAGTAAAATAACTGAATGTAAATACAATCACTAGTGCTTTATTCAAGCTATCATAGAAGGCAGCATTGTGTAGCATATGACATTAAATTCTTATTTCTTTTTAAGTATATGCTCTTGTACTGGTTAAGCAACTAGAGTGAGACAGTTTATGTTTAGTTTTTTTTCTAAAAAGATAAGAATACAATCAATTTGCCTTTGCCACTGATGAAGTTGGGTTCATTTGTCCATAACACCAGGCTTTTTTTAATGTGATTTACTAATTTTTAAATCCTACTTGTTTTTATTATTGTGAACTCACAACAGCATTAGTTTTCTTTAACAATACTTGTCTTGAACTGTTGGTTAGGTTTTGTGGCATTACTAGTTTCACATTCAACTAGCAGATATATTATAAAATAATAAATACTTTACTGATAAAATCTGTATGCATCAACTTAAGATGCAGAACTTAATAATATTTTTTCATTTATAAAAATATGATACATTAATAATAATTTCAAGACATAAGATTTGGGAGCAGTATTTATTTTGGAACGTGAAACTTAGATTATTTTGCTAAGTACAACAAAATCTCCAGGTATTTTGCAATTGGTATTTTTCTGCACCTGTATTCTAAGAGAATATTACTGTGAACTGGACATGTTTTAAGCATATTATCATTTCAATAAATATTTTCTAAACTTAAGCACCTATCACTCAGAAGTTCATGCTTAACAAATATTACAAGTGAAAGAAACCAAAAAAAAAAAACAATTCAAGTAAAATAAATTTTATTTTTAATTCATATATATAATAATTGTCAGTGTTCACACAGTTATCATGCCCAATTGCTCACATGATGGAAGAAAATGGTTTAGTAAAAATAAAAAAAATTTTCCTACCTGCTTACTTTAATTGTATGAGGCAAAGTTACCAAATTCATAAAAAACTCTATTTCAATGAACTATTAATTCTATGATAAATTCATCATATTTTTCAAATTTTAACAAACTCATAAAAGATTGTTAAAAACATCACCACATAAATTTTCTAGAAAAAACATGAATTTACTGTTAATTTAATTTGTAATTCTTTAAAAATAATATAGCACAAAGACAAAATATCATATAGTGAGTATGCAGAACTAACAATGGCACACAACAGATTCTTTTTGGGCTCTTATCTTGAACTTATCCCATTCTGTTTTTAAATGTTTTTATGTACATTTCATACAATAAAATCAAAAACTATATTCACATTATATTGTAGTACCATTTACTGCTCACATTTACACACAGTTTCAACACTTGTCAAAAATGTGCCAAATGTTTGCTATAAAATCATACTTAGGTTTTCTAACATTTCTTAGTATAAACAGTAACAATCACATATACAATAGGGTTTAGACAACTCATCATAGTGGATACACTATCTATGACAATGAAATGAAATTTGGCAAATATAAAATGATGTATTCACGAGCATAGTTTATATGCATGAACTTCCACCTGGAAATCTGTCTGATACACATACAACTATCTTTCTTTGTAAAAAAATAGTAATATACAGTAACCATTGCAACATATTATATATATACACACAAACTTTATTTACCACATAAATTTAAAATGATAATTTGGTTGACAATAAATATTTTTTTATAAGCACTTAACTTTCATAGTTAGGTTTCTTATGATGATATATTAAATAAGATACAAAATAGCATAGCAACATAATTTTGGGCTCATAAATTATTGTTGGTCTTGTAGGTAAATGTACACTGTAAGTATTACCCACAAAGGTTATAACAAGAAATAAAATAGTAATGTTAATTTTATGACATTCTAATATATCAAATGAAATTGAGAACCATCTAGTTCAGTGTCTCTCAAACTGGGGTACACAAGGGTACTTCAGGGAGTCAGCAAGTCATGTCCAAAATGTCATAAAAATATTTTAAAAAATATGATTTTTAGAATAAAAAATATTTTTTGTAAAATTAATGTCACATGAATTAAAACATTTAATTTTACAATACACCCTTTCAAGTACACAGAATCCTTTTTTCAAAACAAAAAAACATCGATAGGTTTGAGGGTCCACAAAAAAATTTTAAAGGGAAAGGAGTCCTTGAGTTACTAAAGTTTGAGAACCACTGATCTAGTTCACATACTTGTACAATCGCACAAACAAAGATGATGGAAGTTACCTATATGCACCTTTATAATTGCCCTTCCAATTAGTGAATGTAGGGCAATACACTGATAAGCTAACCAAATGGATACTTTTGTTACATGAATAGTCCTCCAGTGACCTCTATAACTTCACCCGTTATATACTTGCTTTTGCTAGATGCTAAAAATAAGCAAGCTTCTGCTACATCTTCAGGTTTACCACATCTTGCCAATGGTGTTAGCTTCTTGAAATGACTCATTACTTTTTCTGGAATAGTTACACCCACAGGAGTATCAATAAAGCCTGGCATTATGGCATTACACCGAATTCCATGCCTAGCCATCTCTTTGGCAACACTCTTAGTTAATCCAACAACACCAGCTTTAGATGCTGCATAATTACACTGGCCAATGTTTCCAACTTTCCCAATGATGCTGGAAATGTTGACTATCGAACCATTTTTTATTTTTTCTGAAATCATTAGTCGACATGCAGCTTGTGTGATAAGAAAAGTACCCTTCAGATTTACATTTAACACATCATCAAACATTTGTTCTGTCATTTCATTCATCAATCCATCATGTGCAATTCCTGCACTATTTACAACAATGTCAGGCACCTGGGATAGCCTCTGATTAATGGATGTAAATAGGTTAGTTACACTATGAGACTGACTTACATCTACTACCTCCATGATATATACATTTTCTTCACCTGAAATTTAATAAAACAAAGATATTAGTTATTTTTTGTAAATTTGATAACTAACCAAAACATGTAACATATAAATCTTAGTCTACAAGTTAAATAGCATTACCAAATTTTTAACCCACTTGTGATTTCGTGAACTAGTACTAATAGTACTTAAGTTGGTGTAAACTGTAACACTAATATTAATACAGTAATATGCATTGTCTTGTCGCATATAATTTATAACACATTTCTTGATTGTGGGCATTACTGTCGTTACTGACCTTGGGGAAGAGATTGTAAGGTCAATTTTGCTGCATTTTCGTTCTTGTCTGCTATCACTATTTTCGCTCCCTCACAAGCTAAAGCCTGGCACACCGCTTTGCCTATTTCGCTACCACCACCAGTCACAAGGGCTAAATGGCCACTGAGCAACTTAGCCGAAGCCATATTCACCTGATGAAAAATAAAATTTTTCATAGAAAGAAATGAACATGTTAAAATTCAAGCAGAAATTGAGTTTAAAATTTTATATAAAACATATTTCTGTTTCAGAACACACTTTTTATTTAAATTCTGTTACTTTTCCTACGGTAATATTCGTATGTGTACCTTAAACGTATAAAAAAACCGGTAATCTTACAATTCTGGTTTCGATCTTTTAACACTTCTGCACGCGCGTGTACGTGTGATCTGTTCTTTCATTGAGCGCTAAACGCCCTCTAAGTTATAGATTAATATTTCTCAAATTTTCTTCTTATTCAAGTAATGTATAACACACAATATCTAATTTTACTCCTGGAACAAAACAAGGCAGTATGCTACCAAATAAATCCCAAGAATACATACAAGTGCCAGGAGTTTACATCAAACTACATAGGTGAAACAAGGAGAAAACTCAATACCCGCATAAATATGCATAATCGCACACGTTCTCACAACTTTCATTATAAACATGATTCTGGTCACAACTTGGATAAATGATAATAAAGAATAACTTGACACAACTAAATGAAAACTTTTTATAGTTTAGTTTGTACGACGTTTCAAGTAGATTCCCTTCATCAGGCAATTAAGACCGTATCACAATGAAATTAGGCTTATGAACGTCACAAGTTACAAAACTGACTTTAAAGTATAGTAACCCAAAATAATATAAAACTAAAAATCTAGAAATAAACGACTTTATAACACAAAAATGTTGTTCTTATTTAACTAAACACCCAACGTTTCGCTTTACAGTTTCTTCAGGAGCGTTCTACTAAAACACAAACCGTAACTGACAGTACAACGATTCAATTGGTTTTAATAATAATAATAATTAAATTTTATTGAAGTTAAAGTATATCCTTCAGTTTTTTTACCGGTTTTTTTATATGATGTAGATATTCAGACCAGATCTTATAATCGTTTGACGAAGATGAGTTATTAAAGGTTTATCCGTGAAGGGTATAATCCACGAATCAGTGTCTTAATATCGTGTTTTTTTTTTTTTGTTGTTGTTGTTTGTTAAAATATTGTGAAATGTTTTAGTAATATCACTATATTCACTATATTCACTCTGTCCTATTAAAAATGTTTCAAAATTAGAAAAATTACTCTAATAAAAAGCAGGATAATGCTTGACTATAATCCATGCAAATTCAAAAAGTGCTTTGCTAATACCAATGTCTTAAAGAAACCTGCACACTTTGGAACACTGTGTATAAAATGGTATGTACACAGGGTTCAGCCACATAAGTGATCGTTTCAAAGAACACATTCGTGCCGCCGCAAATCTTGACAACAAAGAAACCAACGTTGAACATTATATCAACGCACACGGTATAATTAACGAGATACCTTATCAGATCAAAATTTGAGAGACTTGTGACACTTTAATCCATTCGGATTCAATCCAAACGCCCTTCCATTAACAGATACAATGCCTGGTCCCTATAAAACTAATTATTTCATGTAAGATTTTGTTTTGTTTTTACATTCACTTTTGTGATCAGCGACTCTAACCTGTTTACCACCGTGCACCGTTCTATCATATTGTTGTGGTTTTATATTATTTTCAATTACTATCATTTAAAATCAGTTTTGTAACTTGGGACGTTCAAAGACCTTTGAAAAAAGCGTATGGATTGAAAGTCCACATCAATGAGTAAGATGTTTTAAATGGTATTACTACCAGTTAATGAGTACCATATCCTTTTTGATAAATTACCATTTATTTAAAAGAAAAACAACTAAAATATCTTATTGCAGGGTACCTCGTAAGTTATTTAGAATTCTGCAAAACTGGCGCAGAAAATTGTAATATTGCAGAACTTTGTAGCATGTAACCATTATGTTAAGTAGGATGTCTTGACTTGACTTGTGTCTACCCTTCTCACGTGTCGAAGGAGGGGGAGGGGAGAGGAGGGGGAAGCTGATTGTGCGTTGGATTAAATGCTGCGGATTTCTTTATAGTTAACAATTCTATAACTAGAGACCGGATCTAAGGGAGTTCTTTTTCTCTCAAAGAGTAGTGGATGAATGGAACTATCTTCTGAAGGAAGCAGTTTCTATGAACAGTGTAAATGCGTTTAAAGACTACCTTCAAAGGCATTTAAGACACAGAGAGGGAGCTTATATAAACCTTCAAGGCCTTTAACAATTTTAAAGATCTTTACTAAGTCACTCCTTAAATGACGGGTTTCAAGCGTAGTTAGGTGTAATTTCTGTAACCTCCTTTTATAAGAGAGATTATGATAACCTGTTACCAGCTTAGAAAATCTCTGAACCTGTTCAAGTAGATCCACCTCTTTTTGAAGATATGGATGCAATACTTGGACAGAATATTCTAGGTGATGTCTGATAAGTGATTTATACAACCTAAGCTTCACATTACATTCCTTTGAATAGTTTGTTTGTTTTTAATTAAGCACAAAGCTTCACAATGGGCTATCTGTACTCTGCCCACCACGGGTATCGAAACCCTGATTCTAGCGTTATAAGTCCGCAGACATACCGCTTGCCACTTGGGGGCCCTTTGAATAGTTATCCTACCTAAAACATGATTTGCAGCTTTCGCAGCTTTAGCACATTGTTTGCTAACACCAAGAGACTTGTGGATAATCACTCCAAGGTCTTTTTCCTAATTAACAGATGCAATTAGACTGTTGTCTAGTAAATAGTCATATTGTTCATTGTTGAACCCCAAATGTAAATAAACACACTTTTCTGGATTAAAAAGCATCTGCCATTCAATTGACCAGTTCAACATATTTCGAAGGTCTTCTTGTAGACAAGTTGCATCAGCTACAGTTGCTATTCTGCAGTAGACTTTGGTATGATCTGCAAATTGTAAGAAACTATTACAGACGTATTCATCAATACTATTAACACAAATAATAAATAAGATGGGACCAAACACATACCCTTGAGGCACCCAACTTTTAACAGAAACCCACTCATATACTGTGCCATTTATAAATAACTCGCTGTTGACTATTTTATAACCATTCTCGAACCAAATTTAACATTTTTGAAGACATTCAATTTACATAAAGCTTCTTAAGTAATCTGGCATGGGAAATGTTATCAAAAGTTTTAATAAAGTCACGATAAATTATATCAGCCGGGTAACCTTCATCAACGTGTTTAGTTACTTCTTCTAAGTAAGTACGTAAATTGGTCAAACATGATCTTATGCTGGTAAAACTATTTGTGTGTGTCTTTGATGAGATTAAAAGTTTCTAAATGTAAAATAATAGCATCCTTGACGATAGGTTCAAGAATTGTACTTATTTCATTTGTCAAGCTAGCATGTCTATAATTTGAGCGAAATTTTCTTGATCGTTTTTGAACAAGGGTGAAACATTAGCATTCATTCAATCCAGTGGAACTGCAGATGAGTTCGCACTTGCTCTAAAAATTTCACTTAGAGGATAACTAATTTCATATGCCACTTCCTTAAGAACCGAAGAGAATATCTCGTTGATACCGGGTGCTTTACCAGGTTTCAAATTACAGAGCTTTTGTTGGACAAGCTCTGGTAATAGATCAAACATTTTTAACCCTTGCTCCAATGAACCAGTAAAATTACGTATAGAATCTGGTATATTGTCAAAAATTTATTCAGTAAAGTTTGTTTGTTTGAAGTTAAGCACAAAGCTACATAATGGGGTATCTGTGCTCTGCCCACCATGGGTATCGAAAACCGGTTTCTAGCGTTGTAAGTCCGCAGATATACCGCTTTGCCACTGGGGGCTATTCAGTAAAGACAAAGCTAAAGTATTCATTTAAGATATTAGCTGTTTTAGTGTCATCTGTGACCACGTGACCATTATCATCAACGATTGGGCCCACCTGTTCTTTGGTTTTAGATTTAGAGTTGACATATCTGTAAAAAGAGGTCGGATCCTTCTTTATGTTTCAGCCAGTTTTCTTTCAAATGGTTTCTCGGCCCATCGTAGCTCCTTTGTGGCGCGATTATGCTGGCGTTTGTACTGAACATAATCTAGATGCTCCTTGGATTCACTACATTTTTTCCTTCTGGCGATCTCAGCCTTTCTGTCAGCCCATAACGGATTGCATCTCTTAGGTTTAGAAATTTTGAGGGTCACATACTTAGAAATAGCTTCATCCATAATATCTTTAAAAACATTGAATTTGACAGAAAGGCCCATAAGGCGATCCATCCAATTTATCTCACTCAAATCTTTGCGCATTCCTACGTTTCACTGTTATTGTAGTCATAGAAAGTAGTTTTTCATTGAACAAATGATATCAAATAATATAATATTGTAGTCGCTGAAGAGTTCGCGAACTGTTAAGTTGTCGACCAAATTGGGAATACTAGTTAAAACAAGGTCCAAAATGTTATTACCTCTAATAGGTTCAGTAACATGTTGATGGATAAAAAGATCCTGAATTAAATCCAAAAAGCGTTTACTCTAAGTTTCAGACTGGAGGAGATCCTAATTAATAGTTCTGTGATTGAAATCACGGACGATCATTACCGAACTATAATCTTTAGATCTTTCATTGTTTGCTTCAGATTTTACAAGCAAAGATACACAAAGGGCTATCTATACTAGCAAACCTTAATTTTGAGCTGATAAACTAAACTCTAAAGGGAAGACACCTAGTCAACAGTACGTACCACTAACCAGTGGGGGATTATCGCACGGGTCTATGGCCAGCGACTCACCCAAATAGGGTAAAGCCGAGCATTTAAAAGCTAGGATATATATATTCTCCTTATATTTTTGTTGATATTTAGTTGCATATTTTATGTTAATTATTATGTAAAACTCAGTTTCTATCAGACGTATATAAAATCAACCTGTGTGTCGTTCGTATTTCTCCTGAAGCGACATTTATTTTATTTTTTGTATGTGACAAAATGAAACAGTTTAAATTAAGCGTACTATATTGGGATATGATTTGTTGCATTATTAGTGCATTGTGTGTAAACGTTATACGGGCCTATTATTTCATTCATTTGACTATAAGTTTATATTTTAATAGGGCGAGGGGTTGTGCTCAGGGCCCCAAGAATCCTTAACTCTATCTTTAGTTATTAGGCTGCTCCAATCGAATGGAGAAATTTAACCACTACTCTCATAGCGCAAACACGGCTCCAAAGTTCGGAGCGATTAAAGTTTATTAAAGAAAGTCAATCTTGACAAGATATATACATATATACTTAGCTTTCCTTATGAACTTCAGATCAACTTAGAATATTTCATTTTAGATCTAAATTCAGTTAGATTATATCTAGTATTATATTTTTGTTTCAGTTATAATTCAGCAACCGCTATAGTATCGTTATTATGGTTAGTAGATTATTTATGTGGCATTGTTTGTTTTTGAATTTCGCGCAAAGCTACACGAGGGCTATCTGCGCTAGCCGTCCCTAATTTAGCAGTGTAAGACTAGAGGGAAGGAAGCTAGTCATCACCACCCACCGCCAACTCTTGGGCTACTCTTTTACCAACGAATAATGGGAGTGACCGTCACATTATAACGCCCCCACGACTGAAAGGGCGAGCATGTTTGGTGTGACAGGGATTCGAACCCGCGACCCTCAGATTGCGAGTCGAGTGCCTTAACCACCAGGTCATTATGTGGTAGATCCAGGTAAAACTGAATTAGCGTTAGAGGTATATCAGATAGGTCCGTTAAATAGCAGGAAATTAATTCAAGATATCAAGTACGTAGTATTAAAATTTACTCACCGAGGTAATGATAAATGAAATAACGCGACTGAATAAAAAATGATATACAAAATTGACAATTTTTATTATACACTAAACACAAACACAGTGTGTATACTTGCAGTTTACTTATGTTGATGATGATCGCCTTGTACTGAATACTCTCTTCAACTGTTCAGGCCAAGATCATCTACCAAACTGTTTAGGTCAAGATCAAGTTACAGATAACAGCGACTAAATGCAATGTTTCTCAGTTTGTAATAAACCTCGAATTTACCCAGAGTGATATACTACCCAAATGACTGGTTATCCTCATTATGATATATTTGGTGCCATAACTTCTAGATATCACCTGAACAACCGTTGAAAGACTCTACTGTCTACATTCTTTAAAAAAAGTCATTAACTGTGATATGCTTTGTGTGAACTAGAAACTTCTAAAATAAAATTTGCCGGTTGTTTAGTTTCTGCGTTGTAATGGTGACTACAATTGGTTCATAAAATCGCTAAGATTACCTTGCTTTAGTTGCTTCGTTTCTTTATTTTCTATACTAGGTGAAGTCTCCTCTGCCCAAGAAAATATTGCAGTTGGGTTAAATGGATTGGCACCGTAATACCCTTTGCTGGCCAGTGTTGTGAGAGAAAAAAAGGTCACGAGGTGATAATTTTAACTGAACAAAGAAAGCGAATTTACCTGTTTAATTCAGGCACGCTTTCTTTAGCCAGTTTCTACTAAGAGATTGTCAAGTGAAGCCTACTTTTAAGAACATATTTTAGTCTTACATACATTAACCCTGGGGGAGAGAAAGCTGTAGAGTTAAACACAACTTTGTAGAAAGGGTTGTCATTTCTTCCGTGTAGGAATATACACTTTTTTTTGTTGTTGTTGTTCATTTGCTATGATAAAGATCTTATTCATTCATTTATTCCCATTTAGGCATTACATACTTCGAGAACAAGAAAGGAACAAAGGTAATTTGAAACAAGAACAAATTAACGGTTTTCTTGACCATGTATTATGTGAAATCTGCAAATATTCTGAACAAAGAATGAATTCAAGATATAGTACTACTCATGGCATATTCAGGTATAACATTAGTCTAACTATTTAGACTTTTTTATAAATAGATATTAATTACCAACTACTTTTTATTCCACACTTTGGATGTTAATCTGCTACTGTATTCAGGAAAGTCCTGAGAAAGGCTATTTCTATGTTGGTAGTAACCAGGAATCAATCCTTGAGTGAAGTCTTGTATGTTATCTTCTCGATTGGTGAAGTATTTGTTGTGTGTCAGAGATAATGCGCCAAAGCTGGTCAATGTGTCTTGTAAAATTATCATGGTTACTTTTATAAACTCTACAAGTGGACTGAGTTCTCAACGTACTTTACTTGCTACTGGTGATATCATGTCCCAAAAAAATTAGACCATAGATGTGTGGGGTGATACTATTGTCTTATTAGTTGTTTGATTGCTTCTGTTCCAAATTATTTCCATTTTTGTCTTAATTGTTATGGATTTTGCGCAAAGCTACACGAGGGCTATCTGCACTAGCCGTCCCTAATTTAGCAGTGTAAGACTAAAGGGAAGGCAGCTAGTCATCACCACCCACCGCCAACTCTTGGGCTACTTTTTTACCAACAAATAGTGGGATTGACTGTTACGTATAATGCAGCCATGGCTGAAAGGGCGAGCATGTTTGGTGTACAGGGATTCGAACCTGTGACCCACAGATTGAGAGTCGAGCGCCCTAACCACCTGGCTTTTGTCTTGAAGAATTGGTTAACTTTCTTATTTACGTTAGTAGCTGGGTTGGACTTGATCTTTGAGTCTGATGAAGTATTCCTCTTTGTCCATGATTAGTATTTCCTTTGTCTGCTAGTAGAATTCTTGTGGTTTCTTTCTTCAAGCCTTTTTTTTTCTTCTTCTTCTGATAGGATGGTTTTATAGTGGGGTTTACATTTCATGGCTTTTTGAAATGCTGACATTATTTGCATTCTGAATTCTTTTTCTGGTAGGTTGTAAATTGTCTTCTGTGGTTGTAGCTGTATTTAAAATGGGTATTTTGTTTGGGTAAAGCTTAGTATTTTACTCAGTACACATTCAGTTTATTATGGTACATTTATAGTGCTAAGAGGATTTTTGTTTTGAGAATCGATGAGTGAATTTTGTATATTTGTACAGATTGTGTTTGTATTAGTACAAAGTTTGAATAGCTATATATATATATCTTGATGGAGTCTACGGTTCATTATCTTTTCTTCTAATAGAGAACGTTAATATTATTACCATCAATAAAATAGTTCTTCTCAGATCTTCCCTGAATATGGCAGCAGAAACATAGGTCAAGAATTAGTTTGTAATTAGTATATAGTTATAAAAAAAAGTTACTAAATTAAATACTTAGAATTAAGTTAACATATAGGCTACTAACCATGATTGATATTCAATTACCACAACCTTAACAAAAATACTTTACCCTATTGTATTTTGCCAAGTGTGTTTGTGGTATTAGACGCTTGTCTTCTCCTTTTTTAATTCTGTTATCACAGACCTTTCACCAACCAACTGCAGAACCTTCCCTTATTAGCAGGAATATTTCTACTGATGTGTATATACTAGAACTGAAATTCCACAGTGGTTTTAACACTCAACAACGTACGTTCTGTTCTTGTTCAATGTTAAATGCAGAAATAACAGGAGTATCATTTTAATTTTATAAATAAAATTAAGATATGATGTAATTTATGTTACTCAGAAAGGTTTTTTTATTTTTGAAATATATATAATAGTAGTCTAGTAATGTGTTATCTGTGGGAACTAAATAAGCAAGATAATGTGGACCTTCTACTACAGTTTTCTTCTTGCTTAAAGTAAAAAAAATAGCAGTTGATTATTAAAGTTAATAGTAAATACATGAAGGTTAGCTTATTTTTGTCGTTCTCATAAGATCTTACAATTCAGCTATAAAACTCATATATGTGCAAATACCTTAAATCCTTTGCTAGTGTGCAACATATTAATGAACGGTGTGAATTGGATTTCCCTACAGCTTGTTCTTGCCAAATAAAAGCAGTTCTAGCCAGTAGTTTGTGTGTGTGTGTGTGTGTATGTGTATAGATCAATGACAAAATGTGTGTTCACATATTTATTTTAACATTTTATTTTCTCTTTTAATAATGCTAGTTTGTAAGTAATTCATTAACATGCTATACTTAATAGCAGTTGAATAATCCAATTAGGTTTTACATTTTTTAAGTGGTTGTTATACTTTAAATCTTCAATTACTTGAGTTTTATCAGTTCTAATTTTCAAATTACCTACTTTTTAGATGCACATGGTCTTTATTTTTCACAATTCACCAGATCATTGTTGTTAGTCATAGTCATTTATTCACAATCAAGTGTTCTACTTACTCATTAACAAAATAAATGTAAATATTAATCTTCATACCAAATATATCAAATGCTGTATATCAGTTTACAACACTCGAATGGGATCACTTTACTTTTTGGTCAGAACAGAAACACTTTTCTTTTTTCTTACCAAAACTGAACCAGTTTAAGTTACGAGTAGAACAAAGAAACTACCAAATAATATTTTGAGCCAGCGATTTCAGTGAAGGTGAGCTTAAAAGATGCATATTAACTATTATCAGAGGTTATTTATTTTTAGCACTATACTTCAAGCATGAGATAACTTCACTATCTCATTTCTCAAAGCTAGAGAAGTCACAATTTACTATGCAAATCTAAGTATAAGTGTGCAGGTGCATGTAGTTGAAAATCGGATATTTCAGTGAACTTGCAAGTATGTTCAAAACCTTTTTCCATATATATTGTATGTTGGCTTAATTTACATGTTTGGTTAATGTAATGAAACAGCTATCAATAGGCTACTTTACTTGCATCGCAGTGGGAAACAGAAAGTTAACCATTGTGGAGTAGTAAACAAGCTACATGTATGAACTCAATCATTTTTAAAATTAATTTAGAAAAAATAAAAAATGATTGGCATTGATTTTATATTTATTAACTAGTATAAAATAAAATACAGATCCTATTTATGGAAACTTCATCACTGTTTTTATGTAAATTCAGTTATCCAAAAATTACTAGCATGTTGTGATTGTAGAATTTGTTACACCATCAGCCTAAATCCCAGAACTGTAAGCCACATTTTTCTGAAAAGTCAAAAAGTCCTGTTGAGTGCAAGACAAAATCTAGCTGTTACATCTTCATCCAACTAGGCTGCTTGGGATAGGAAAAAAAAAAGAAGTTATTTTGTCATTATTTCAGATGGTACAGTTAATTATGATCTTGGGCTAATTGTTATCCACACTTCATCTTCAGGTCTTGTAATTACTCGCTGAAGAGGATTCACAACTTGTCCATCTACTAGATGGAGTTGAAACTTAGTACAGATCACAGAAATATACAGGGCCAGCTGCATATACACCAGATCAGAGCCTGGACATTGTCGTTTTCCTGAAAAGCCAAATGGTTGAAATGCTAATTTGGATCTTGAGTTTGTATCATCTTCATCAAATCTATCAGGGTTGAACCTAAAAATGAAAGAACTTAATTTACAAGGAATGATAAATTAACTTTACTTATTCTTTAATAGTAGAAGTTTCCTTTTAGTAAGAGCAAGCAAGAGTAAAAGTTTTTGCTGCAACTGTAAGTCTAACTAGTACCTTCAATTTACTCTGGCTATCACCAACTTGGCAAAAAACATGTTTCAACAGATGTAACAGATTCCAGTTGTGTGATCTGTTGCAAAAACTAAAGCTTTTTGTTTAATTCTTGGTCATTTTCAATGACAAGTTCTCAGTAACATGTAAAATAATCTTATTTCTCTGATTTGTAAATATAAGACTAATGATTACTGTGCTTTGTTCAGTACAATGTAAACTAATAAACCAAGAAGGTTTTACAATACAACAAATAATTTAATCAAAATAATCTACAACAGTACCATCTGTTAATAATACAATATCTAACTGAGCTTAAATAAACAAAGTAAGTGTTTCAAAGGTCCTGAATATTCAAATTAAACCACAGGTACATATGAAATTAAAAATTTAGGTGATAAAATCAATTACCTGTACTAGTAGCATGATAATTAACTTATTCATTATTTTAAAAATTTTATATTCATTAAAACTCATACACTAAAAGATTGTAATTATTATTTAATAACTATTTTCACAACTAAATACAGTTTCTTCTTGTAAATGTATGGCTAAAATGCTGAGATGAACAAACTATGATATATAATAATACTACATATCAAAATTATGATAAAAACTACAACAAGTGAAAATATTTCAGAGTCATTTGGAAATTGTTATAAGACCATCAATGCTGTACTTATGTTAATGTCATTTTTAAATGAGATAAAACTCTCCTGCATGAGCCAATTGTTCATTACTTAGCTTAAAATATACCACACAAATAGTATTTACAACACAGAACATGTGGCTGCTTTACCTGAATTTGATATTTAAATTTGTTTTACAAATTCAAAAGTTACAATTACTTACGTTTTAGGAAGGCTCCAGTAATTCTCACTGTGCAACACCACACCTAAGGCTTGGATCACTGGAGTCTAGTTATAGAAAATTTCATTTAAAGTTAACAGACTCAAAGGAAAGTTTACAATTTTTATGCAATTTTATAGACTGATAACTAAAACGGGGCAAAACTTCTTTTCAACTTGCTCTTAATCCTAGTTTATAATTAACATGGATCAAAATACTTTAGTTTCCAAATTAGATGTAACTTTTTATTAAGTGAACAAAAATTACATAACAAACTAATTAATATATCTACTACTTGGCACATGACTTTACTTTCTTAAAATTGTGAGGGGTATTGGTTTAACAGGTAATCCCTTTAATTATTCTAAAATGTATATTTAGTTAAGTTTTTCTGGCAGAAAAAGGGTTAATAAAAGTTGTTAAAAACTGTTGTGTTTTAAAGTTTCTGTCCTTACAAATTTTCCCATTTTTTCTGGATTTCATACCAAATGTGACTTATTGCCCAATAAATTCTTTTTTACAAGTAACTAGCTCAAAACAGAAAGAGAATACCTTCTTCGGAATAATATGTCCCCCAATTTCAGTGTCAAGATCTTGACAACGAGCAGTCCAGGGTTCCACAGCTGCCATTCGCAGAGTCTCATTAATCACTTGACGAAGGTATCTAAATTGAAAAACATTAGAAACAATAAAATTTTAATTACAAAAATAGTGCACAAATATTATCTAACTTTAGATTACTGTACTGATTCCAAGAAAAACTTGTTTTACCTAATAAGGTCAAAACCCATATCTTAAGATCATGTACCATGTCATTTAAATTAAATTAACATTAGTGAATCATTTTAAGTGAAAAGCTTTAAAATTATTATATTAAAAAATACAGAAAACACCTAGTTCAAAGATCCTAGGCCTTAGCTTTTTTCTATAAAAAACTGCTTATTTATGTATAAACAAATGTAAACAAGTAGGAGTAATAATTAATAAATAAAAAAACACAATAGAAAATCTCCTATGGCACATGTTTGAAACAGTTCAAAGAACAATTCACAGGTATGCACATGACCAGTGTATCATTAATTACAGGACATATCATAAAGGTACTTTCCCTCCATACACTAAGGTATTTTGGATACTTTCAAAATCAGTTTTAAACTTTAACTATTGTTAAAGGTTAAATATTCTCTGTTATTAGACACATCTGTACTTTATTAAAATAAACAAAAAATTCAAACTCTTGGGTATTAAATAACTTTTTGTAACAAACTTATTACAAGCTGCACAATGGTTATGTGTTTCAATAGAGACAAATAGAGATATCTGTTACAGCGCATGAAGTATTGATAACGTGCTTCAATACGAACAAAGCTACAGCACAAAATACCACAACAGTGAAGTGCTTGGACATATATATATAAAGCTATAAATATATGTTACAGCACAAAGTGCAATACTGGTTAAGTGCTTCAACAGGAATTTGTTTTTTAATACAGCACAAATCAAGTGCTTTAATATTAACATAAACATATTACAACTATTAGTCATTTCTTTCTTAGAAAATTTAAAAAATGTATAATAAATTTTAAACACTTCACTTATTGGTTATCACATTGTTAGGCACAAGATAATTTAAGGCAGTAACACAAATTCCTATCATCATGCAGTCCTACAAATTAGGTCATCGAGTCCATGGCAAAAAAATTAAAATAAATACCGTCCTAAGTACATTAATCAGAATAACACCATAACAAATACAGTGGTCCACTCTGAAGAGATTTTGTCACCTAAAGACACATTAGTACAAGAAATGGATACAAGCCAAACATTCTCACCAAAGCAAAAAATGAAAAGCTTACATCATGTTTTTGTAATGATTAAATATTTTTGGTAAAATAATAAAATTAGCGGTATCTTTCTAAGTTAAATAGCAGACATCAGCTTTGTCACATTCCACCCATACAAGAGTTAACTTCCAAAGAAAGTGCATAAAAAAACAAACAACAAATCATATTGTTTAATGCTAGCAAAATACAGTTCTAATGGTTTTGTTTTCAAACACTGATATTCATCATTCTTGAAATAACATAAAACTGAACTTAAGTTCCTGCTTGCCCTCTACATAATATGTAAAATATGTCAGACTACTGTAAGTTGAAAGTAATATACTTCATTATCCCCTCCAATATCAAAACATGCAATGAAACTCAATCACACTACAGAAGGTTTGAGTGAAAGCATGTTAGGTCTGGTTTTGAACCACATTTTGATAAAACAAATGTTTTATTAACAAACTCATAAAATTTAAATGCTACTAACCAAGGAATTATCAAGCTTTTATTTTTGTATAAAACTTCAATATGATATTTTTCATAGAAAAATTAATTAATTAAAATAAACTATTTTACTAGTTTTTTTGTTTTTTTATGGCAGTGTGCTTTTTTTTTGGTGTTGCTATATTTCACATATTTGCCGTATGCTGTCACTAGTTTTGAGGCCTGATTATGTATGTTTAATATATATATCTCAGAACCAGCTTTGATGATCTGAATATATCATCATAATCACTAAGACTGCTAGACATATAACTGTTTTAGGTAGTACTAAACAGTGTTTTATCTGTCTCTCAAACTTCAAGTAAATGGAATAAAAAATATACCCTAAATTTTAATATCCATACCATAAATCAACTGCAATACTAGTGCTATACAAAATCTAAAACTTTAGAGCTCACTGTTTAGTGGATGAAGAAAGCAAACAAATTATGGTTCACTCAAACCAAGACTAACTTCAATTATAATAGTAGTACCTTATTTGTAAGCTAAAGAGATAAAACAAAAAAATTCTGTTTTCAATGATAGTAGTCTTAAGATTTACGTTTAATTTATTGATTATTATACAGTGAAATGTATAAAAGTGGTACAAGATTTTTATTCTTTCTACTCATATAGTAACCCATTCCCCAGAAAGAGTAACTCACTTAAGTTTGGAAAGTACGGTATATGACAGAGTGCTGGAACCTACAACATCTTTTAATTCTTTGTAAACTTTTTCCTGGACATCCTTGTGTGTTGCTAAAAAGTAGATGGCCCAAACCATAGCTAAAGTAAAAAAAAAAAAACGTTTTATGGGGTTACAATGAAAATCCTACTATGACCTATGAAATTTTCACACACTACACATAAACTACATTAAACACCAATTACTATTAAATCAACTTTAACACCTATTTTCAAGCTTCATCAAGGAAATAAGGTTATAACTTTTATAGAAACTGGAACTGGCTGAATAACATATATATATTTCCTCTCCCAGCCAAACTATTTGGTTTACTTGATAACTTAAAATTAAACAACAAAAATATTGTAATATATAATGTACTAATTTTAGAGTTACATGAATAGTTCATTTATCATACAATCCATAACTGAATTTACATTATTAAAATGACAAAAACAAAAATGAATTATGGTAAATAATTTGTACAGTTTTATGATAAGATTATTAATCAAATCAAAAAGAGACAAAACTGCAACTAAACACTATAACAGAACTTTAAATTATTTTACAAACACAGTGATTGTTATAATTTTCCTGTACTGAAAATGTATTTCCATGCAACATCCATGTGGGGGTAGGAAAGAGGATTATACCACTGGCAAGTCAATTACAATCCAAAACCCAGCCATTGGGAACTGACATCCATGTGGGGGTATGAAAAAGGTTCATACTGGCAGAAAGTCAATTACAATCCAAAAACCAGTCATCTGGTGGGGGTTAGGAAAGAGGATCATACTGTCTACACCTCAAGTTCAGCAGACCAGAGAAAATCTCATACCTCTGATCAATGAACGGGACACATGATAGCAATGTGATAAATTGTATGACCGAACTGGGAACCCGAGATCCCGACAATTGGTATAGTAAAGATGTATCTGTAATGGAAACTATCTCACTCAAAACCAGTCCGACAGGAACTGCCCCCAGCACAATAACATCCTCGGTTTAAGAAAACCATCAAGAAATAGCACAAGAGGAAGAACCATAATAATTTGTTCTACCACTGTGATCCACAACACGGATGGAGGAATCAAGAGTATAATTGAATGAGTAAACAGAGACATCTATAATACATGTGTGAGGACTTATGTTGATTGGTTCAGCTCTGAATCCAAAACCCAGCCACTGGGAACCAACATCCATGTGGGAGTAGGATGAGGAATCCCAATCAAAGGGGTGAACAGCAATTTTAACTTCTCATTCCAAAGCTACAACATCCCCTCGGATAAACCCGTACAGAGATGGAGCATCAGATTGGGGTACATTTCATCATCTATACCAGCTGAACACCACTACCCTACTGTTATCTGAATGGTTATATCATTATTTGTAACATATATCATTATCACATTCAGGAGAATGCCGCCATGGCCCATCACCCCGGCAGATTGGAACTGGAAAGTGGTAAGGACTCCCATACTCCACTGGAAGAAAAATGGGGGAGAAAATGCAGTGGAGAGTCCAGAGAAATGTCGACACTGAAAACAGTGCAACAGGTGAGCATGAAAACTCTATTTTGAAAAGCAGACCATAACTGATTTATTTAATCAAAGGAATGGCAGGGATGGGCAGCTATCCCCTTCTGCTTTACCCAGGAAGTCTATTGGTGAGTACAGTCAAGAACAGATATATTTATGAAGCAAATATATTGCAAGGAAAACCTATGAGCAATTTTGTGGAACACCCCATCTCAACAGTGTGTGTTTAGTGGCCATGAAAAGTATAATTAAGTCATCATGGCCTTGTAGTGCAGAATTCATTAGTTTACGGGATCCATAAAGGAAAAAAGGGACATGTCCCTGAAAAATAAGAAGTATATATACAAAAAAAAGATAACTTACCCAGTCACAGTTTCACTGAAGAGTGAAGGATGGTGACAGGTGGAAGACAGTTCACTGATGAGGAAGAAACAGCTACCCGAAGCAGATAATGGGAGATAAATGTATGAGGTGTAGTCCCAGTGCTCGACAGAAGAAGTATCTCCAATGTACAATGTGGGTGAGATGCAGGTAAGAGGGAAGGTGCCTAATCAGAGTGAAGACACCAGGAATTGATTACAGGGAAAAAGGAGACAAGGAAGAAAAAACCAATCAAATCAATAACCAAATCCAAAGGGTAAGGGAGGAAGGAAAGAGTTACAAACAGAGGAATGGTGCCAGGGAATGAAACCACAGGAAATGAACCAACAGAAGGAAGCCTTGAAGACAATGAAGTAACCAAGAGCAGGTACGGGATCTATAAGACCAACCAGATCCAACTGGGATTAAAGATGGGAGGTGGAAGGAAATAAAAAAAGAAAAGGAAGAACCTGCCCCATGAGCTGCCAAAGTGGAGGGGAGGAAAAATTGATCTAGAACAAGTTGAAGTAGCTGAGAAAAACTAGATCTGTGTAGGCCAGGAAGGAGCACTCAAAGACCTGACAGAGAGTGGCAAGAATGAACAAAATCACCTGGGGAAGATGATGAATGGGACGAGAAAATAAAGGTATAAACAGGCCCCAATTCTGTCTGAACACATTGACAGCCAAGGCTTGTGGATGAGGAACCAAAGATAAAGACATACAGATCTGAAACAAGCTCAAAGAGCAAGGCACGAAACTAGTATCCAACCCCATGGTAAACAAAGTTAAGACAGCACCACGAGGGATGAAAAATAGGAATGTGGCCATAAAAATACAAAACATCGACCGTGGGCATCCTCAGTCCTGGAGAAAAGGCTCACCATAGTGTTACAAAAGACAATATAGGAAAAAGGGAAAGAACCAAGAAGTGATTGACGTGGGACAGAACCCTAATCTGTAACGAGAATACATGACTAATGGAGGAATTCTAAAATGTAGGACAGGTCAATAGAGGGAAGGTTTCAGACATTGGAACATGAATAAATAATACAATGGCCAAATGTAGCAATACAGATATCCACGTGATGCTAAAGTTACAGGAGTCACACCTCCCAAAAAATGGACCAGTGGTGGAAAAGAGCTGTCCATAAGTCCCAATTAGAAGTGGAAGGGAAACAAACTTGGTACAAGACAGTGTCCAACCCCAGAAGGTCCCAAAAGCAAAGAAGCCACATTTGTAGGGAAAGGGCTGAAGATGGAAATCACCCCAACATGGAGGTAAGGAAGAGGAAGGTATCTCACGAAAATCCCCAAGAAATAGATGGAATGCCTCATAAAAAAGGAGGTGTATGATGGACAATACCAGTAGTTGAGGTGATAGGGGAAGATGAAGGCTGGAAAACTTGGCTAGGGAAAAAAAAAACAACAGGCAATCGTGATTTGAAGTGCAGGGAAGCAAGAAAATAAAAAACAATCTGCCTGATGGTAAGCTAAGGCGAAATAAACCAAAGCCTGTGGAAGGCAAGGCATGTCAGCACCATCTCTCAAAAGAGAGACATAAAGGCCAAGAATGAACCAAAATGTGTAGAAAAGGAGGGTAAAAGGAGAAAAAAACAACAACAACTGTGAAATGTGTATAAAAAGGGTTGAGAAAGGTCTATCAGACTCCACAGTAGAGGCCTGGGAAGGCCAATACAGAATCAGGTGGAGGAAAATTATTAAAATAGATGTCGTCCTGATCGAGTTCGGCAGTTTGAAAAGGAAGATGAGCAATAGTGGGAGAAGGTTGGACAGACCCCGGACTCAGGGGCCCTCAAAAACGAAATTAATTGTAAGAAGTATAAAATATAATTATGAAAATGAAAAAGTTGTTATATTGTAAAATTAAGTACGAGTATATTGACAATAAAATTTAGTAGATGATATTTGTTGAAGAAACAATATATTTAACCTAATTTAAAATTTACCAGGTAAGCCTAAAATTACAAAGACACATGTTAAGCTTAAACTGATATTGTAGTACAGAAGAATATCACTAAACATTAATTAAAAACCCTAACCTTACAAGAAATAGGTACAAATCTAACTAAATGTATGTTATTGAAACCAAATAACTACAATAATAACATTAATATCAAAATACTCAAAAAGCTATAACAGTATAACAGCTTATGTCCAAAGTCAGCAGACCCAAATGTATGGGGCACCAAACATTAGGCCTAACAAAGGTCAAGTCATATAACAATCAATCTCCCAATGTATTCAAGATGACAATTCCTCAGTCAAGACTAGAAAATTGTGCTAAAAGTAAAGTGGAAACATAAACTTCGATAAAAAAAAAAGAAAAAGAACAATAAAGGTAAGTCATCACTTAAAACAGGTAAAGTGAAGTAGAAAAAATTAGAAAATATCTCCACTTTATAGGAAATTGCAAGAAAAAAAAACCCACAGGAAGAGAGCACAAACAAAAAACGTACTTGCTAATAGCATTGCCAAACGAGAAGTGATAGTTTGGTAGAATCGAGTAGAGGGAGTCACATGCATCAGGAGGATGTGTTGCACTCTTAGTTGTTGCATGCAAGGCATAGTTGAACTACATTGATCTTGGGGTATGTGGGAGCTCCAGGCTAGTGGCATGTAAAAAAAATGTTTATATAGAGGGCAGCACTGAACGAGAATAGCTATTTATGTGAGGGAAGGTAAGGTACCATCTCGAAAACCAAATTAAAATGAAACACATGTAATTGTAGCTAACATTATAAAATCAAAAGAGGTTACAATTTTAAACTAGTTTTTAATCATTCATGGAAAAAAAAAATCTACATTACCAGAAATAACTTTTTTTTTTAACTTTAATTATCACTGGTGACAGACTTTAATTAATACTTATGTTATTAGAAAACTGACCCATAATATTATCACCTTGTCAGAAAACCTATTGAAAAACATTATTATACGTACTTTCATGTTGTTTATTTTCTTTAAAACCTTACTGTAGATAGATTCCTAAATTAAAACTTATTTTCAAAAGTATGCATATTAAATACTGGGTAAATAATGTTTCGAGTTAATCTTTAGTTAATATTTAAATGTCAGAATCATGTAAAAAAGAGCAACATTGAATAATATTTTTTAAACAACTTCAATAACTTGCTTATGTTTCATTTAAATTGAAATATTTTTAGCACAAAATCATATGGCTTAAATTTCATCTTTAACAATTGTCATCACAATGAGACTTAATAAAAAGATTTATAAGTGTAGAAGGTACACAAAAAAATGTCTAACCTACTGTAAAGTGCTATTTCAAACCATATTATACATCAAGTAAAAACAAAAACTTCACAAATTATTTGAAACTTGCAAAGCCACACACAAAAAACAACATTCTCTTAAATAATCTCATGCATCTGGGTCAATCTTATATTCGGTTTGAAAAACACATACCACAAACAACAGAATAATGCTTCACCACAAATACCACTCCATCATTGATAATTTGTTCTTCTGGTACATTAAGTTCTATTAGATGATCCAGCAAAATTAGGTTTTTCTTTTCTTTGGACTGTCTTGAATGTAATGACTTTCTTATGGTTTCTTGCAATCTTTCAACAGCTGTTACATAGAGCATGAAAAAGAAGAAGCACTTCAGGATTTTACCTTGGTTCAGTATGACATAATTGACCAAACCCATACAGAGACTTGTTATTGAAAATAACAGATAAAATATAGTTTTTTTTTCTTAAGAAATGTTTGGCAACTATCTGGACATTATAAAGATTTTGCATGTGAAATTTGAAAATTTTCTGATGTACAAAAGTAATTTTAATCTTAAAATGAAAATTATTTTGCATGTTGGATAGGCAACATGCGAAAAGTAAAAAAAGGCATGAAAAAACATTGCTTTACAAACCTTAAGACTTAATAAAAAAATTTGATATTGTGTGTATGAAAGTATTGTAATGTTTACTGATAATCTGCCAAATTTGTTAACATATGCTTACTAATTCAAAAGTTATAGCATGAAAAATATAACAAGCACAAAATGGTTATGAGGTTAGTCCCAGGGACTGAGCCCATGCTGAAAAAATTAACAGCAATCTGAAATATGCCTTTCTATTAAAATCTAAATGGACAAGATGTTTCAAAAATTAAAATTTTGTTGCCACTATTTTAATGTACAATAAATTATTTTTAACTGTCATTAATATTTTAATTCACAAAGACAACTCTAGGTCTACATGTATAAAACACTAATATGCTTCTCAAACACTGTTCTTAGCTTAGACCATAAGCATAACAACATTTTTTACGATGTGTTTTACATTATATTTATCTCTATGTGCACCTTTTATACCTTTAATCAGAGAGATATGTTTGAGTTCCATTGTACCACTAGAACAATTTTATTACATATCTACACTTTCACCTTTCCATGTATACAAAAATGTAAACTGAATTTATGATTCATTTAAATATATATATATATGAATTTTTCTAATTTCACCTGTATAAAATTCAAATTAGATTTATGGCCACAATGTCACCAATCTTAAGCAATTCAAAAATTAGAGCAATCAATCCAGTTGCAAATTTTCAAAAACTGTTCAATTCTGAAAAAACTGTGGCTAGTTTTGGTGCTTCCAGTATTCTACAGTCATTCAGATGTTTGGAAGTCTGTCTGACTCCCAAGGGACACATAGAGAATTCCTTCCCTGACTTTAAAGAGTGACAAAATGGTGAAACGAACTTGACTGAACTACCATGAGTGTGTGTGTGTGTGTGTGTGTGTTTACAAAAATTTCATTACAAAATACTAAAATGAATGATATTAAGCTAAATCAAGTTCTACACTTATAAAAAAAAAAAGTTTTGAATAAGCAAATCTACAGTATGTTGATCAGCAACATGTCTAAAATTTTTTTGATTGTGAATGAAAAACAAACAAAAACATTTTGAGCTTTTTTTTATTTGCTTCCACACAACACAAATTTCTTCGATATATTTCCTTCAAAGCCATGTAAACATCCATAGATTAACATATGTATAAGATGTTATATTTGAATGAACATCATAAATACAATATCTCATGAATACCCTTCAAACATATGCACATAATTTACAACTTTCCACAACAGTGTGTAAAATACAAAATAAACAGTAACATGGTTGTTCAGGTACTTTTGTCATGTTGCTGTTGCTCTCGGCAACTACATTTTATAAGTGTCTGGCATCCCCAAATTAAGCACAGATTAGACTAATAATCCACAAAAAATAATAATTACCTTCTAAAAATCTTTCATTTCTCAGACTCTCAGGGTCAGGAACTGATCCCGTCACTCTAGCTTCAAGTTCAATCCAACACTAAATAAAAAAATAACCATAATTATATTCAACGTGATGATATCCGTTTCTGAATTTCACTTATCTACAGCTTTACAACAAGTTATAATTTATAAAATCACTGATTGACGAGTTTCAACTGACCACATGAAAAATGTACAATACTATCATAAACTTACCATCTTTCCAAAATACAAAAAATTGAGTAAATTACATTGCTCATGTTTAAAAATATTTACAGTTCACACAAGGGTTAAAAACAGCACAACTCTAAATACCCTAACCAAACAACCTTGTCATTGAACCAACCAATTTTACCAGTCAAAAGTCTATCAGAACTTTGAAAAATAATGATAATTATACCAATTTGTATTAATCAGTAGAAGCAGTCTCTCTTACAATTCCATCACCCTAAATTTCAATCTAATTTGTAATATTTATCACTATTTATTCCTTCATTAATTTGTGATGAAAATACAAATAATCTCAACTCCACATTTATACAACACTGATAAGTAAGTCAGTCAATTGTTGTTTACCTCCGTTGAAGTTTTGTAAATGCATGAAAGTTTTTGAAACAAACTTTATTGTCTACCATCACTAATACTTGGTTCTGGAAGAATGATTATGAATATTTATAGCCATGAGTTTATTTAAAGGTGGTTTTGTGTTTAATCTTATGTCTACTGGGTCCCTACATTGTATGGACCTAACATTGCTTTCATTATATTTTGTTCCAAAAATATAACTAGTAGATGGAATTGTGTGAAATTTGACAAGAGTTTTCCTAAAAGTTTGCAATTTCAGAAAAATAAAATATTTAATTTTGATTTTTTTTACTATTTCTAGTACTATTTCTATGTCTCAACAAGGAACAAAAAAGATCAACTGATTTGTTTTAATACAGTTTATGCTATGTGATCAAATTGGAAAAAAACATTTTCTTACTTTCAATTAATAAAAACTTTTCATTTCAAAAATGGTTTAAATTTGGGAGAAAATATGTCTGTTGCATTAAAAAAAAAACAAATTTATAATAAAGTTTCATCAGCCTGAATGAAAGGTGAGGAACTAATTTTGTTGAACTAATTTCTCAGTCCTTGGAAAACTGTGTGAAAAATTAAATTGAAAACACTAACTTTTTAATCATTTTGACTCATGGTTCTACTGACAGTTCCATTACTGAGCAAAAAACAGCCTGTGTTCATTATATTTTACTATCTGAGAAGGTCTCTGTTACAAATTAGTATTGAGCCATTTGCTTCAGGAAATATTGATAAAATATCTTAAGCTATAAAGTTTTCTTTTTAAAACTGAAATATATTTCAAACAGTCTTACAAACACAGAAAGTTAACCATCATTAATGTGTACTAATAAATAATAAATGGTGCATAAATAAATCTTTAAAAAACGTTTTACAGAAATTCCATCAGTTCTGATTATACACTGTATGACATAAATTACAACTTACTGTATTAGGTGTAAATAAATTCCACTCATATATATCTGACAACTTCTGAAGAGTCAATCAAAGAACTTTTGCTTTTACCATTATTTGACAAAGAAGGGATCTTACAGAAATAATAAGTATTTTAGAGAAAGACTAAGCTTGTTTTTTCATCTGTTAACTCTTTCTGTACAAAGTGGGTCAATTTGACCTACTCTGTAAGTGTGAAACCATACACACTATAACTCTGAATTTACTCAGTTTATCTATACAGATTTGGCAAGCTTTTAGTAAACATTATTAGTATGTTGCATACAAGAAAGCAGATGTTTTAATATAGTATTTCTACTAAAAACTTGTCAGTGAATTTACAAAGCCTTTACTGAGTCAGTCTGAGTGAAAGGTGATTTACATGCTAAGAATAAAAATACTTTTTAATCTTACAGTTTTCATGTTTCATTTGAATAACCTCTAGAACCTCCTAAATGGATATTATAAGTATTTTCTTAGAACTTTATATTTACTGTTACTCACTATAGCAAAATCATCAATGTATGGTGAAAAGAAATTTAAAAATATGAAATAAAATAAATTCACTATTTTAATAGATTTCCAATTATTTCATATTGACAATTTCAACTGTAAAGTGCAATAAATCACAGTGACAGCCCATTAGCTATCTGTCATAAACATCACAAACAAAGTTCGCAAGCATTACCATTCTCGGCCTAACATTCTTTCATTAAGTAGTTGTTCATATAAAAATTCAATAGGCTTTCAATTATTCATTTTAGAACACAAAAATACATCAAGTACTAGAATAGAAAGTCCAAAACTACTACAATTTATCTGGCTTTCTAAGAAGCTATAAATAAGTTAAAAAATGTGTAAGCACTCAAAGCACAGATCTATGATCAACAAAACCAAATACAGTTCATGTGGGAAAGCTAAATGACAGCTATCTAAACTCTATATAGTTATAAACATGTCAATCACCTTTGATGAACTATTAGCAAAGAGTATAAAAAGACAGTCAAGAGGGGAGGCATTTCTTTGGTCGATTTGACAAATGTATTGATATCTCAGTAAATCAAGAAGGAAGAAGGTTATGATTTTAGATTTTTGTTGTTTAATTATCCATAGTTTGTGGAAGTAGCATTATAACAAACTCTCATAGTAACTGTCCCTGTAGCTTTTTATTTTGAACCTTGACCATTTTTCATTTTGAGTCCAGTTTCAAAATGATCTAACTTTTAAGCATTTAGATACACGTATTACTTGAGATTTGAAAAGCTGACAATATATCACAGGTCAAAACATTATGTGTCTTAGGGGTAAATATATACCGACTCTGAAATTAATAAATGCTAATGTTTTAAGATATTGGACTAAAATTAAACAAAAGTTCAACACATTGAATTTCTGGTTGGATAGTATCTAATCAAAATTGTCATCTGTTTGTTTCGCAGCTAGACCCACACTATCCTAAAATTTATTGGAAGTTCATGGACCTGCATGCGTTCACTGCTATTTTTAACCCCTCGTTAACAACATATACATGTAATGACTATGCCCTGCTGAGAATTTCACTCACATAAAACGTACATAGACTTTGTCTACTATGAAAAAATAAATTTCCAAGTTATATAAATAGAGTCAAAAATTACTTAAGAACTTTATATCAAAAATAAATGTTCAATGAAAGGAAACATAGAATTCAGATTTTTAAGGGGCAACTTTTGATATCTTTCTTATTTCAAATAAAATAGTCGAAAACACAGTAACTTTTACAAAACATCCAAAGTATTACATTTAAAAAACAAACAAATAAAAGTGGAAACACAACTGTTAACAAGGTGTATAAATTTTAATTTTTTTCTATGGAAAGTTCATTTTTTTTCTCTTTATAAGTCCCTCCTCAAATCCTTACTGTCTTAGACATGTTGCTTGCACTAAAATAACTTAAGAGTGAGCTGTATTTGTTTGGATATGTTTTTTATGTTTTGGAATTGATTGAACATATGCATCAGTTAAAAAAACACCTTTTTTATGCTTAAAGCTGGCAATTATAAGCTATGTATGTTAGACATCTGAAATGCAGAATTTTAATTTCTATTGTTAATGAGAGAAGGTGTTATATGAATAAATCATAAAAATTTGTTTATTTTCTTACAATTTCAAAGTTGCGGCTAAATTCCAAGACTTCTTTTCCATCCAAGAAGCAATCACCAAAACCAATGTACGTACAAGCTTTCATACACAAAGCCATCATATACTGAAAAACTGGAATGTGCTGTTCTGTAGGCAGTGTAGTCCATTTCTTAGTTAACTCATCAGCAAACTAGGAAGCAAAATGTTTTTGATGTCATAAAATAGTTTTCTATTAGGAATTCAAACTTGTACTATAATGCATATTTAAAAAATTGAAAAGTAAAATACAAAACAAATATATGACAAAATATTCTGTAGTTTCATTGCTCTCTTTCTTTGTTCATCTAAAGAAATACAATTTGCAATAGAAATATTAGGTCGTCAAGAAATTAATGTCACATTTTGGAACACTTCCATTTACAACTCTCCAAAAAAACGGTTAAACAAATGGCCTAAAGTCATGTTAGTGTAGCCTACATAATATGAAAAATTTAGTATACTCTAATCCCTTATAGTGATGGCACACGACGAGACACACATTCGGCATGTAATGCTGTTTGAATATAAGAAGGGAAACAATGCCACTGTAGCTACAAAGAATATCAAAGAAGTTTATGGAAATGTTTTGAACGTTTGCAAGTGTCAACGATGGTTCAGCAAATTTTGTTCACGTGACTTTGGCCTTAAAAACATGTTGGAATTGATATTGATGTTCTGAAGATGCTTGTTGAGTCTAACCCAAGGTAACATACTCGTGAAATGGCCCTGAAATTGCATGTCTCTCATGAAACATTAGGTAAATGTCTAAGGAATATGGAAATACTCCATAAAGAAGGTGTTGGGGTGCCTCACGAACTCTCTGATGATCATCGTTTCCAACGTGTGAACGTTGCTTCGTCTCTTCTGCCGCGTGAACCATTTTTGGACAGAATTGTCACTGGTGATGAAAAATGGATTCCCTATGTGAATATTAAATGCCAAGATCAATGGCTCAGTCCTAGACAAAAACCACTTCCGACCCCAAAACCTGGACTCCATCCGCAGAAAGCGATGCTTTGCATTTGTTGGGACATCAAAGGAATAATTCATTTCAATCTCCTCAATCCATGGTGAACTGTCAATGCAAAGATCTATCGTCAGTAACTGGAACGTTTAAATCAAGCTTTTAATCAGAAATGCCCTTCACTCGTCAATCTGAAAGGTGTTCTTCTCCACGACAATGCACGCCCACATGTGGTAGGTTTGACGCAACACAAGAAAATGAAGTTGAGTTGAGAAGTTCTCCCCCACCCACCATATTCTCTAGATATGGCACCATCAGATTACCATCTTTTTTTTTGTTTGCTGCAACACCATCTTAATGGGAAAATGTATGAAAATGTGGAAGGTGTTAAAGAGAAGATCGACATGTTTTTTGCTTCAAAGCCAAGTGATTAATCAGGACGTTAACAACCTCATTGTAAGATGGAAAAGCATCACTGATAAGAATGGATACTCTGATGATCATCGTTTCCAATGTGTGAACATTACTTCATCTCTTCTGGTGTGTAATGCATGTGAACCATTTTTGGACAGAATGGATTCTCTATGTGAATATTAAATGCCAAAAAC